TTTGTTTAGGCGTTACTCTAAAAAAATACAAAAGCCTATTTATCTACAAAATTCGTAAATGCATGTAACTAAATGACGATACAATAGTTATGGGATGTATCTAAGTGACCTTTATCCGAACGTTAAATGTGAATAGCGTTTATTGGTTTCGGTGCGAGAAGTTATCGAATCCGAGTCGAATTCGCTTTCTGAGACGATTGTGAATAGCCCGGCAGGATTGGATTTGCTGATTTCAGCCTCCAAACCTCATGAGACGGACATGACAGGTTGCAATTTTACGACTATTGTTTATTTTAAGAAAACAAAATCTGTCAACATATAAGTAATGTAAAATATATTTGATAAATATTTGTATCACGATTGTTATCCGCGAGGGCGTAAGCGGAGTTCAAAGAGAAGAAAGCTTGTCGGACTACGTATAGCCAAAAAAATTATGGGTATAGTCGGCAAATTGTGACCAAAGAGATAGATAAGTAAGGTCATCGCCAACACAATTATTACGCGGTAGAGCCACGCTGCAGCTATATTATGGTTGTAGCACGAATGGGTCGGCTCGACCGGGGTAGGACTACACTCTCACAGAATACCAGCGTAAAATAGCAGCTTAATACTGCTGTGTTTCGTATGGTGAGTGTAGAAAACCGGAGACCCTACCTACTGGAAACGAGTTAATTGAGTATAAATGTAGATATCTACGGGCCACAGCGTTCACTTACCATCAGGGGTTTGTGTGCTTGCTTGTCACCCTTATTATATTTTAAAAAAAACCAATCACAAATCCAATATTCCATTAATCGCCTTACTTGTCGAACATACCATATGTTAGACAAGTAACGTAGTTTGCACAGTTTTTTATTAAAAGTACCACAAACATGGGACTTTTATAAGTCCCAAGTTGCCATATTGGTCTAGAAATTATGTTCTCGACCAATACGGCAACATGGATTTGATTAATTTATATTTTTTGCACACATTTGAAGTAAGCGTGAATTGCGAAGCGAAATTTCAGTTTGACTGTGTTAATTTTATCGTGCGGGCATAGTTTTCGTCATTATGAAATTCGTAGTAGCGTGCTGGTAAGAACAAAATTGGTAAAAAACTTCTACCTAAATTACTACTGGATGGAACAGAAATATGTATACTTTTTTTTCCTACTGACTTCAAAGGAGACTGTATGTTTTTTTATGTATGTTACCTCATAACTTTTCAAATCGATTTCGATGATTCTTTTTTTTATTTAAAAGCTGGCGCTTCACATGTGGTCCCATATAAATTTGATCAAGGTCAGACCAATAGTTTTTGAGTTATTCTTAATAATTAATATTGAAGTGAAGGTTGTACAAAATTTAAAATTATCAAGTGCCAATTTCAAGTGTGGTAATCGGCGACAGAGGAAAACAAACCAGAAGATGGACAGCGTCTTTCTAATAGGCAACAACTAAAAAATATAAAACTGCGGTTGCTAACCCGCCTGCCAGGCAACTACGACGAATATCCTGCTTATGGGGCAATCTATGTTCTGAATAAGAGAGGCCTGTGTTCAGTAGTGGAATTTGATGGGCTATTATGAATGAATGAATAAACACGCTTCTGTTTGACGAGTAAGCGTTAGGCGATAAACGGTTGGTGAAAAATTCAGTCAAATCTTTTAAAATCAAATTTTAACACGGATAATTAATTGGTAAGCATTATGAACGAGAAGCTCAGTTCTGCACTCACCAGCAACCACTTTTAATACCTACTACGTACCGTGCTACGAGTACCGTAGCTCTACGTGGCTTTGTGGTGGAAATGTCCTTTGTTATTACTATTTTTTTTATAGGAGAGGGGCAAACGAGCATGCGGCTCACCTGATGGTAAGTGACTACCGCCGCCCATGAACAACCGCAACACCAGGGGAATTGCAGATGCGTTGCCGGCCTTTTAAAAAGGAGTAGGCTCTTTTCTTGAAGGTCCCTAAGTCATATCGGTCCGGAAAAATCGCTGGTGGTAAACTATTCCACAAGGAAGTTGTGCGAGGAAGAAAACATCTTCTAAATCGCACAGTGGTGGACCGCCAATCATCCAGATGGTGTGGATGGTATCGGGAGTTTTGCCGCGATGTGCGTTCGTGAAATTTGGCGGCTGGGATTAATCCGAACAATTCCTCAGAGCACTCCCCATGGTAAATGCGAAAGAAAATGCTAAGAGATGCAACATCTCTTCGCAGTGCCAATAAGTCGAGCCGATCGGAAAGGACTCGGTCGTCGACGATTCGAGCTGCTCTGCGCTGGATGCGGTCAAGTGGAAGGAGCTGGCACTGGGGAGCCCCAGCCCAGAGATGGGAACAGTATTCCATGTGAGGCCGAACTTGCGCCTTGTAAAGTTGCAGGCGTTGAGCCGGCATGAAATACTGTCCCGCTCTACTGAGCACGCCAAGCTTTTTAGAGGCCAATTTGGCCTTCTCTTCCAAGTGACCACGAAACTGCACGTTACTCGATATGTCGACGCCGAGGATTCCGATACTGGCTGAGGTAACAAGGGGAGTACCTTGAAACTGAGGAGATACGACAAAGGGGTTCTTTTTAGCGGTAAACGCGCAAACTTGTGTCTTCTGAGGATTAAACTGGACTAGATTTAGTCGCCCCCAATCCGAGACTTTGTCCAGAAAAGACTCGACTTCAGACACAAGTTTGTTCTGGTACTCGGTGACGTTTTCCCGAGAAATATTGGCACGGCCGGTGTATAGAGCATCACCAGTGCTGTCATCCGCATAGCAATGAATGCTACAGGCTTGCAACATGTCATTGATATGCAGAAGAAACAGCGTTGGTGATAGCACGCAGCCTTGTGGAACACCAGCGTTAATAGGCTTGTAGTCGGAGCATGCACCGTCTACAACGACCTTGATGCTCCGATCTGCAAGAAAGCTGGTGATCCAATTGAATAATTTCTCGGGAAGCCCATAGGAAGGGAGCTTCGAAAGAAGCACTTTGTGCCAAACCCGATCGAAGGCCTTCGCAATGTCCAAACTAACGGCCAATGCCTCCCCCTTGGACTCTACGTCATAATCTGTTAACAATATTTATTAGTTGCTAGAGAAACAATTATCTTATGTTGTCATGAGAAGGCACAAGAATTTCACATTTAATATTATTTATGACGTGTGGTACTTGTGGGCTCGTCTGAGATCTCATAGTATGCGAGCTACTCCATTCCACTCCACTGAAATCAACGGTAAATAAAAACATCGTAAAGAAAGCTGCGTCTAAGAATTAAAACAAATGGGAGCAATGTGAAGTCCGCCCACAACATGAACTGGGTAAATTCTACCTTAAAACTCAGAAATTAGGCAAAATCTATTTATATCCTCATTCATCTGTTCATTCACTTCATGGTGTGTTTTCGCTAAGTGTAGCTTATATTGTAGGTATACGGGGTTATTTTGCAATAACCGGCCAAATTTGCAGAGAAAATTCAGAATAAGTAATAAAGGTAGGCAAATGGTGAAGAAAAATTTATTAAAAAAAATCTCAAACATTCTGTCCTTTTTATCTTTTAAATTCAAAATGCGTGGTAATGCATTATTTTAGCTGAGTTTACTACTCACGCACACATTTGTAAGGGTCGAACGGCTGGCAAAAACATTGTTGCCCATAAATCACATTCAATTATATATAGGGATAATTTCAAATAAAAGTAGATGCCTTATCTACTTTTATTTAAAAAAACTGCAAAAACGGTATATCATTATTTATATATTAGAATTTAAGTTTAAAATTTGGCTACTCTTTGAAAAATTGGCCTGTATAGAATAGAATATAATAAACTAGAAGAGAATTATTTTTTATTCAAAATAGATTACAATTAATATTTACTGAAAATCATTTATGTTTTTACTACTGGTTCAAGAAAAACCTCTGCCCTGGTGAAACCGGAAAGAAACCCAGTTGGACATTTTTTAAATAATAATAACAATTGAACTATGTACTAGAAAACAGCTTGGTAGCGATCACATCATTTACAGGGGTTATTATTAGTGATGCAATCTTGAATATTATATTTATATTACCCTTTTTATACAGCTTTTGTCGAATAAAATATGGAAATTTTTGTTAGGCATTGTTTCTGCGACTTTGTAAATACTGACTCATTGAAGTTGAGTTTATGACGGGCGAAATACATTAAAAACATTCGCATCCAATAGATGCGAATGTTTTAATGTATTTTCACCGATTTCTCTGAACTGCTTTGAATGATTATTTTTTTTTTAAATTTAGAAGTTCCATATAAATTGAAAGAAAAACTATTCCTAGGGGTGGTAATAAAGATTTTAATCTACCTATTTAAATCGACATTCTGGTTGTTGCCTTGAACTTGTAGTATTTTTTAATCCACTCAAAAGGGTAAAATAAATAAACAAAAAAATTTGAGTTATAAAAGTGACCGTATTAACCGGATGACCATACCCTCACGTACTCTAGTTTTTAAATTGTTTAGTGCAGAAGATCTATTGCAGGATTACATTATAGTTTAGTGCTCCAAGTACATTTATTTAGCTCTTAGTCTCATGCAAAACTGGGAGCGAACTTAAGCGCTTTGTAAATTCAAATGCTTCGTGGGAGCTAATGAATGGTAACATATTTTAAATTACTAAGAAGTTTTAACACGACAAATTATTATTCAATTGTAATGTGATACGAAATATTTAATTGTTTTAACAGTGTGTTAAAACGAGATTTTAAAATTTTGACAGCTTTTGGTAATATTTTTAAAGACATTTATGAAACAAAAACTTATAAAGTGGAACTTCAATTGTTTTTGATTATGAGTAAGATTTACCAGTACTAGTATTTGGCATTCACGATCAAAGCGTTATTAAGAAAATAACGGGCATGAATTATTCAAGTGCAATGCAAACTGATGCATCTACAAAGTGCTATGTGTTAAAATTGTCGCTGCGAGTCACAATTGGAAAAGCCAACGAACGGCGCCATGTTATTTAAATAAATCCATTGAAAATGACCACTGAATTAAATCTTATGAAAGTTTGTTCTTTTGAAAGTATTTGTGCCTTTTACCATAAAATTTATTTAGAAGAAAAAGTCAATATTTATGTAAGAAGTTACGACGAACACAAGTGTGTGCGTGCGTGCATGCGTGCGTGCGTGCGTTCGTGCTTGCGTGCGTGCGTGCGTGTCTGCGTGCGTGCGTGCGTGCGTGCGTGCGTGCGTGTGTGTATTACTACCACAACTTAAACGTTAAGCGATTACTTTATTTGCATTAAATACATGCTGCAGCTATATTTCTGGTATAGTTGTAACACGAATGGGTCGGGTCGACCGGGGAAGGACCACGCTCTTACAGAATACCAGCGTAAAATAGCAGCTTAATGCTGCTGTGTTTCGTATGGTGAGTGTAGAGAACCGGAAACCCTTTTTACTGGAAACGAGGCATTCCATTTTAGTCCTCACGGGTGACAACGCATCTGGATTTTGATTCATAATCGAGGATAAATGTAATTTTCTATGGGCCACAACAACCACTTACCATCAGGTGGACTATGTGCTCGTTTGTACCCTATAAAAAAAAACTTTACTTTCAGTTTCTTTCAGCAAAGACAATTTCCTTAATGAAACGTTAAGTAAATATTATATCGCTACAGTTTCCCTAAGTCTGCTTCACAATGTAATTACGGAAAGCGTAAACGCTCAGTAGGTCATTATACTTAAAACTGTAGTTATTTTAAAGAAATATATTTTAATAATCTATTTATGACTTATATTTACTTTTGTGTCGCTTATAAGTACTGAGCATAATTTTACGTCGTTTACATATACTGAAAATTAATGCATATTTATCTCCTTTGAGGACTTCTTAATGTATTTCTGTAAATTGACATTTTGACTAGGTAATATGTCTATATATTTATAGCGAAAATTTTTCATTCGATTGTGAAACTGTCGTTACATTACACGATTTATAACGGCGATATTCAGCAAAACTGTCGAAACCGTAAAATTACTAAAACTAGTCAGTACGACAATTGATAAAAATCCATAGAAATAAAATATCACTTGTGAGATTATAATATTGTGGCTCTACATACGAGATATATCAGTACCTCCGTGATATAGAGATATTTCGTGCGGATAAAAAAAAAAGGTAAAAATATTGGATATATTTTTTTATTGGTAGGTCCTGCTGACACAGCACACACATGCATCACCCGTGTTAATGTGTATGTAATTCTCGTGAAATATGTTAACGGCCGCCACCGGCGGGACAGCAGTCTGTAAGCGAGTAGTTCAGTTCCTTTTGGGTGTAGTATGTGAACACGCGTCTCGGGTTCGATAAAATAAATCAACTACAAGCTGATGTGAACAATTTAATCATTTTCCTGCCTACACAAGCCCCTATGATACACAAGCCACCAAGGTACACAACAGATTTATTTGTATTTAAGAAATTATTATTTATTTATTATTTCATATATTGTAAAATAGTTATACGATGAACGATACAATTACAATTACAGATTCAAGATTAAATATAGAATTACGTTAAGTATTTGAGATTTTTTAAAGGGAAGTAAAAAAGATTATCTTTCCAATTTAGGCGGTGTTCAAAAAAGTGAAAATAATGATGGTGTTAAATTATAAAAAGGCAAATAATTTCTAAAATCTATAAATGTCTTAAAAATTGTTAGAGAAAACGGCAAAAAGTTATACTCAGCAGTTTTCTCTTGACAGGTTTTAATTGTGATCCGGATGATTATAGAAAGAGAATATTATCCAAAAAGTAGATAATTTGTATCCTGTAATTGAGTATTATGAAAATGATGTGGAAAAACTTATTGGCTGTTTATTCTATAAAATGAACAATTTGTATCAGAAACAGTTTCTTTTGTAATATTGTCTGTTAAAATATTGACCCACTTGCCGGATGTATATTACCAAATTCTTCAAAACTCTTATCAATGTTAATTGAAAGTTCTGTTGGTAATGTTGGCTAAGGCAGAGGTCGTAGTTTCAGTTTAAAAAGTTTGTGAAATGTCGCACGAGAAATTGTAAGGTGAATAGGCCAGGCCTATCGATAAAATCTTCTCGTTAAAAGTAATTTCTCTGAGACAACTGTGGACCGCAATAAGACGATATTAAATTAAAACAAATTAATGTCGATGGACGCAGGTGGCTCAGGACCGTGCTTTGTGGCATTCCTTGCGGGAGGCCTATGTTCAGCAGTGGACTTATGAAAGGCTGTAATAATGAATGTCTATACATAATAAAATTGAAGTGTCTGTAAGTATTATTAAAATAAGTGGGTTTTATTAAGCTTAGGGGGGCTATCTGCATGCTGTAAACAACTATTTTTTTTCTTGTCTGTCTGTCTGTTAGGACTAATCTTCGGAATGGCGGAACCGATTGTGATGATACTTTACGAGCAGATAGAGAGCAATGCCAGAAGGGAACTAGGTTATTTTTTATCTGCAAATCTTGAAGATTTTTTTGAAAAAAAAAGCAATAATTGATAAAATAAATGGCAGGCCACTATATCAAGGAGACCTGTGATCAGTAGTGGAATTTTGATGGGCTGTAATGATAGTGATGCTGACGACGAGTAATCATGGGAAATTGGTTTAAAAAGAACATCGTAGCTATAATATGAAATTGAAAAAGGGACAAATATCACATGATCAAAGGATCGAAAATAATAAATACTTAAAGCGAACTTTAAATAATTAAAAACAATAATATGATAATCAAAATATGTTAAAGCTTTAAGAGGCCTGAATGACATTTACGAAACGGCGATCGCCGAGATTTTAGCCTACGTCAACACCGTCCAGCGACTACTTTCTGTATTACTTAGAAAAGTGCAAAGATAAATATACTGCAGATGTGACAAGTATATAAGTGATATACTGCCTATTATGCTTGCGCATCACTGAGAAATGTCGTTCTTCAATTACATTGCACGGTGTGGATGCATCGAAGAACAGGAAGACTCATCTACAGACTTACACAGATAATGACCGGGCACGGGTGCTTCGGTGATTATTTGTGTAAGATTGGACGGGAAGCGACGGCGAACTGTTTCCACTGCGGTGGGCAGGAACAGGACTCCGCATCCCATACGCTGGCAACATGCCCAGCGTGGGAACGGGAGCGGACGGTCCTGGTAAGCCGGATCAGTCAGAACCTCTCCCTGCCGGCAGTCGTGTCAGTGATGCTGTTTAAGTTTTAAGTACGTAAGAGTTTTTATTATATATGTTGAATCGTATTTATTTGTGTCGTATTAGTAGCTCTGGGTCTAAGCGCTCGCTCTAAATTTCGTCCGGTTTGATCCCCGGCAGCACCAATGAAATTTTTAATTGCAATTTTAAGTACAGATTTACCACGTGATCGGCGATTAAGGGAACCATTGTGAGGAAACCTGCATGTCTGTGGACTAAGAAAAAAAATTAGAAGACATGTGAAGTTCGCTAACACGAATTTGGGCAGCGCGGCGGACATTTCCTTGCCCTAAAACCCTTTCAGAAATAAGAAGAGTCCTGTGCCCAGCAGAGGGACTTATATAGCATGTTAATTCACTTTTTTATCGTATACATATACAATATTCATATTCGTTTCAGATACAGAAGGGTACCTAATGCTGAGATAAATATCATGTGGAGGCCACGAAAACGTAAAACATCTTTGTTCCTAGATACAATGTTATAGTGATTGTCAGTCATTTCATACGCTACATTTTCTATAAAGCTTAGGACGTTTCAGATAGGGCAAAATAAAATAATATAAAATATTATGGCAATGATTTATTAATTATATATACATTTATAGGTATTAATAATAAAAACCGGCGACGAAGTTCGCCACCCGTCACGTTCTGTCCCCCGGAGGGGCGAAAAGTGGATTGCGGAAGCCCGTCTGGCTACATTGAACGTATGTGGAGGAATGAATGATAAGATGGATGAAGTATGCGATATGATGTATGATAGACGAATAGACGTGTTATGTGTGAATGAGACGAAACGGAAGGGAAAGGATGCCACTACACATGGCATGTATACCGCGTACTGGTCTGGTGTAGACGAGACCGAACGGTTATGCCAGGGAGTCGGTATCATCCTTTCAGAAAGAATGGGTCATTGTGTAAAAGAGTATGAATGTGTGAGCCCGAGACTGCTATGGATACGAACGAAAGTGGGCTTAAAGAAGTTGTTTGTTTTAGGGGTCTACGCCCCAGACATGTCTAAGCCCACTTATATCCGAGAGCAGTTTTGGGAGTTGGTAAGGATGGTGCTAATGAAATGCAAGGTTAATGAAAATATTGTGATATTAGGCGATTTTAATGGAAGGGTTGGGGTGAGGAGGCTTGGTTATGAAAGGATATTGGGAACGTTTGGTGATGAAATTATAAATGAGAATGGTGAAAGCCTTCTCGCCGTATGCGTGGAAAAGAATCTTGTTGTGACGAACACTTTCTTTCGTCATAAGAAGATTCACACGTATACATGGGAAAGAGGTGATGATAGAAGTATGATAGATTTCATAATTGTTGATGAAAGAATGAGGAGCGCGGTGGTAGATACAAGGGTTTACCGGGGCTCTAACGTAGGGACGGATCATTACTTGGTCTTATGCCGAATTAATGGTCTTTTCAGACGTTGGAGGCATCGGACATCTGTGTCTACCACAGCGTTACACCGTATAAGAACAGAGAGGTTACAAGATGAAGGTGTGAAAGAGAAGTTCAAATGTAGATTGAGAGAAAATATAAGTGGTATGGCTGAATTGTGTATGAATGATTTAGACTTGGAGACTTTGTGGTATAATGTTAAGAAAGGTTTAGTGGATGCAGCTACCGAAGTATGTGGTGTAAGTACGAGAACGAATGAAAGGAAAAATAACACGTTATAGTGGGATGATGAGGTACGGATGGAAGTTGAAGCAAAGAAGAAAGCATGGCTAGATTTACTAGCAACCAAGGCTAGTAATTCTAGCAGTATGAATGATGATATTGAAAGGAAAAAGGCAGTTTTTAGACACCTAAATAAGAGAGTAAAAGAAGTAGTTGAAAGGAAAAAGCAAGAAAGAACGGATAAGAATGATAGAAGAATATCGGATAACTTCCAGGAAAACATTAAAATGTTCTGGAAACTCGTAAGAACTACCAGGGGACATTCACAACAGCCTAGAATGAATGCTATACGAGACCAGAATGGCTGTATTCTGAATGACGAAGTTTTGAGTTTAAGGAGATGGAAGGAATACTTTGAAAGCGTGTTTATGAGTGATGAGACGTTTGAATTAAATGAAATAGAAATTCCGAAAGAAGAGGAAATAGATAGAGATATAAGTATAGATGAAATAATGAAAGCAATGAAAAGTATGAAAGCAGGTTATGATAGAGTATCTCTCGAAATGCTAAGGGCTGGAGAAGGAGTGGTGACAGACCTGCTGTACACCTTGCTGTACCGGGAGACTGGTGCAAAGCCGTGATAGTCCCAATATATAAGGGAAAAGGATCACAGCAGGACTGTAAAAACTACCGTGGTATCAGCCTTCTTAGCATTGTGGGAAAACTGTATGCTAAGGTACTAATTGAAAGAGTTATAAAAGAAACTGACGGAAAAATTTGGGATGTGCAAGCGGGATTTAGAAAGGGAATGGGATGTACGGATCAGGTCTTTTCCATGCGCATGATCGTCGAGAAGTTTTTGGCCAAAAACCAAAAAGCTTTTTGTGCGTTCATGGACTTGGAGAAGGCTTATGACAGAGTGGACAGGGATGTGTTATGGCAAACACTGAACTCATTTGGGTTGAGCGCTGGTCTGATACAGGCATTGAAGTCTCTATATAGGGACTCTAGTGCTTGTGTCAGGATCAACGGGGCCTACTCGGACTGGTTTGGCATCCATAAAGGTGTCAGACAGGGCTGTGTGGCTTCCCCGTGGTTGTTCAACCTATTTATGGACAGTTGTTTGGAAAATTTGAAAGTAGAAGAATGCGGGTTAAGAATGGGTGAGTTAACCGTCAAATGCCTTTTGTACGCCGATGATCAAGTCATACTTGCGTCGTCGGCAGCCGAGTTGCAAATGATGGTTACATTAATGAACAGGACATTAAAAGAAAAGGTAATGAAAGTGAACGCAAGTAAGACGAAAGTTATGGTTTTTGAAAGAGAAGAAAGTAAAACGATATGTGAAATAAGAATAGAAGGGGAGTTGGTAGAGCAAGTAGATGAGTTTGTATATTTGGGACGTGTGTTTAGCAGGGATGGTAGATATGATAAGGATATAGAACGACGAGTGAATGCAGGAAATAGAGTGAATGGGGCTCTACACTCTATTGTGAAAAGTCAGAATGTGTCCAAAAAGGCACGTATGGCAATTCACAATGCTGTGTTAGTACCTACTTTAATGTATGGTAGTGAAAGTTGGGTGTGGCAGAAGAAGCATGAGAGTAGAATAAATGCTGTAGAAATGCGGTCATTAAGGAGTATGTTAGGGATGAAGCTGAATGACAGAGTGAGAAATTGTTTAATAAGAGAAGAGTGTGGTTTGCAAGATGATGTTGTGACCAGGACTAAGAAAGGAATGCTTCGGTGGTTTGGCCATGTAGAAAGAATGAATGAGGAAAGAGTGACAAAGCAAATTTATGTTGCAGAGGTGAACGGCATAGTCGGGAAGGGTCGCCCTAGGCGAAAGTTTATCGACCAAATTGGCGATATATTAAAAATGGGCCAAATCAAGAGTACCTTTAACCGACGAGTGTGTATGCGTAGGTATATGGATGTGGAGGAAGCGAGAGAGGTGTGTCAGGATCGTGCCAAATGGAAGTCCATAATCTCTGCCTACCCCTCTGGGTGACAGGCGTGAGTGTTTATATGTAATAATAAAAATAATGAAATAAAATAAAAAAAAAATAATAAAATAATAAATAAAATAATCGGGAAGGGACGCCCTAGACGAAGGTTTATCGACCAAATCGGCGATACATTAAAAATGGGCCAGATTAGGAGTACCCATGGCCGACGAGCGTGTATGCGTAGATATATGGATGTAAAAGAGGCGAGAGAGGTGTGTCAGGATCGCGCCAAATGGAAGTCCGTAGTCTCTGCCTACCCCTCTGGGTGACAGGCGTGAGTGTTTTATGTTATGTTATGTAAAAATAATGAAGAAGCTGCAAGATTCATCTGATAGTGTTTCTTGTAAACACAATTGTAAAATTGGTTTTCTCATTTTTATCAATGGTCAATTGACAAAATGTAGTCAATATCACTTTATATAAAATATATTTAATTAAATTGGCACATGGCCTTTTTTGGCCTTCTACATCCAACTCTGCGGAAATTTGAAAAGAAAAATGTTGTCTGTTTTTAATTCTCTTGTGTACACCATTTTTCATAGAAGTATTGTTTACAACTGGCGCGGTTTCCAAAAGCGTGATTAACTGTCAGCTGTATATCGTCAATTAGATCCTGAACTTTTTTGATATTTATTTTTGTTATAACTTTTTAAAAAGTGACGCAAACTCATTAGTTTATTATTTGTTATATTTTTATTGTAACGTGTTGGGTATATTGGATAGTTTTGTAATTTATAACAATATTTTCGTAATAAATTATTACGTTTTCTACAGTGATTCTCTCGTCTTACTTGTGGCGTGACTGTAGGATGTTCTATAAGTACTGAGTTATCGTCAGTTACTAAGCGGCCATAAATCATTACATGTATGTATGTATAGACATCTAGGTAAACATACTCGTCAACAACTTCGAGCTTAGTGCTCCCAACAACTACCGGCATAAGTGTGACATGGACATTAAACATGATCTTTGTTTTGTCCATGTTCAGACCTATCCGTTGGGAAACACTATTGAGGTCATTGAACATCGTGCTTAGGCCCTCCAGCGATTCTGCCATAAGGACTATATCGTCGGCTAATCGAAGGTGAGTGATGTACTCGCCATTGATGTTGATACCGTATCCTATCCAGTCCAGAAGCTTGAAAACGTCTTCCAATGCAGCGGTGAAGAGTTTCGGGGATATGACGTCACTCTGTCTTACACCTCTCTGCAATTGGATAGGTTTCGTACTCTGGTTCTGTACTCGGATAGCCATCGTAGCCCTACTGTACAAGCACTTCAACACTTCGATATACCGACAGTCAACTTGGCACCGCTGAAGGGACTGCAGCACCGCCCAAATTTCGACGGAATCAAAGGCTTTCTCATAGTCCACATACGCCAGACATAGTGGCAAATTGTACTTTTCGGACTTCTGTACAATTTGCCGAAGGGTATGTATGTGGTCTATGGTGCTAAATCCCTTTCGGAAACCGGCTTGTTCGGAAGGCTGGAAGTCGTCAAGTCTGCGCGCGAGACGTATCGTAATGACTCTCGAAAACAGCACGTAGACGCGGCTCAGAAGGGAAATCGGTCTGTAGTTCTTCAAGAGAGCGTTGTCACCTTTCTTGAAGAACAAGACCACCGACTTCTGCTCCACGCCTCCGGTGTAATGCCACCATGGAGGACGGAATTAAAGAGCTTCTGAAGGACTTCAAGTACCAGTCTTCCACCAACTTTCAGAAGCTCCGCTGTAATTCCATCCTCGCCTGGGGCCTCACCGTTTTTAAGGTGCTAGAGAGCCATTCTAATCTCGCTCAGACTGACGTCCGGGATATCTTCGGAATAGTGTCGGATGAGACTCGCTCTTGGATCGTTACTCAAACTTGCGTGTGGCTCCAACGATGACGTGTACAGCTGCCCATAGAACCTCTCAATCTCAGTCAAAATCTCAGGTGTCCCGGAAACGATGCTGCCACACTCTGTCTTCAGCTTTGACAGGTGGCTCTTTCTGGCAGACAGATCTCTGGCAAAGACTTTGGAGCCTTGGTTCCGCTCGATCGCTTCTTCAATACGAGCTGTATTGAAGTTGCGTAAGTCCCGCCGCATGCATTTGGAGATCTGTCTGTTCGGATGCCCGTATGCTGTCAAGTCTGTTGAAGAATGTAGCTTCATCTCCCGTCTAACAGCCATGAGATTAAGAGTGTGATCGGAGAGTTTTTGTGTTCTTCTTCGGCGGGTCTTGCAGAACTTAGCTCCGACCGTATGGACAGTTTCCACGAGCTTGTCATTCATATCATCCACTTCATTGCAGTCTTCTTTTGAAACCTGGTAAAATTATTTTTTCTATACCAATTGATTGGCCTGAATATAATGCCAGTTGTGCTCTTTGGCTGAAGTTAGTTTTTATTTTATGCACAATTGCAGACAAAAAAAATATTGATTGCGCTTCTCTAAAACAAAATTTTAACTCTTCTCCTTCTAATAATAGCTCCTGCATCTGACACGGCGGAATAGTTTTTTCTATAAGTTCATTTGCAGTAACAATGTTTGTTAAGAGTTATGAGTATAACTTTTTTATCAGCTGTTTTATTAATAGTGCCTTGAGCAACATTTTACCGGTTTCTGTATAGATAATGATACTGGCTTTGCTCTTTTTATTTAAAATAATTCGAAGGCAGGCAAAGTGCTGCAGAAAACTGTTCCAAATATGAAATGCCGTTACAAATGAATATAATACCTTCTATGTTACACTTGTTTACATAGAAACTTTAATTGTTATCTGCATAAAATTCTAAATAGCACTTTTTACACAAGAAAGTAAACTTTAAGATCAGACAATTTTGTTTTTCGCTAATTAAGTGAATAGTAAAACAAACCAAGAAGTCCGTGATTTAAAATTTCTTGCAGCTTTATAGAAAAGCATGACCTTATAATAATATCATAGCTTATCATTTAGCCATCTGATAAAACTTTTAAGTGTGCCAGTCATATATTAATGAAGATATCTGTGTCATTATACTGGAAATAGTTTATTAAATATTTTATTATATATTTTATTAAATATTTTATTAAATATTTTATTAAATATTTTATTAAATATTTTATTAAATATTTTATTAATCAAGATGATCAAATGTATGTTGAAATTATTGTTCAGTATGATTGACCGTGTGTATGACTTTTATAAGTCTATGCTATTTTTGATGAAAACTATTATTGCAGATAAAATCTCTTTCACGTTTATTTTAGTCGCGAATTAAATGAATAAAAAAAATTGAACTTTTTAATAATTCTCGTCGGCAGCTATCGTTTTAAATAGAAATCTTGTAATGACGTGTATTGCCAAGATTTGTTTTCTCAAAAAATCAAATAATTATTGGTAGTTATTTTTTTCATTCTTTGAACATTTATAAGATTGTGTTTAAGCTCCATTATTAAAAAAGAAACAAATATAAATATTATTATAGTTGTTGACGAAAATATACCTTATTTTATACATCGTATGCCACCAAGAACTTTTAATGTAAGCTAAGATGTGATAATAACTGTAAACAATTGAATAACAAAATAATGGAAACATTTGTAAATACTTGCTTTACAACATTTGACCGCAATAAAATAGAACAAGATAGTCTTCGACATGACACTAAAAATAAATATTTTCGATTATTTTTGCAATATCATTTCATGTGTTGTAAATAAGTTATACGGTGAACGCTACAATTACAATTACAGATTCAAGAGACCGCCGATTGACTCATACAAAAAATATAGAATTACGTTAAGTATTTGAGATTTTTTTAAAGGGAAGTAAAATACAGTATCTTTCCAATATAGGCTGTGTTGAAAAAAGTGAAAATAATGATGATGGTAAATTATGAAAAGACAAATAACTCTAAAATCAATAAATGTCTTAAAAATTGTGCGTGGGAGCGTGCGTGCGCACGTGCGAGCGTGAGTGCGTGGGTGCGTGCGTGCGTGCTTGAGCGCGAGCGCGCGCGAGCGCGCGCGTGTTTGTGTGTGTGTGTGTGTGTGTGTGTGTGTGTGTGTGTATATCTTTCCATGTCGTTCCTCCATGTAGTGGGAGGCTGCCCTGCACTTGTCAACTGTCACTAATCAACGTAGTCGCGAAAATTTTTGCTTTGGGCACTATAAAAAATAATTTATTTAGAAAACAATATTTCTAGTTACCAATGTACAGATGTTAACTAAATTAAGTAATTCTATTCATAAAAATATTACTCTTAAAAAACTAAAATATATTTGAACGAAGTCGCTCCAACACCGACGCGCAGTCCACCCTCAACAATGTCCGAAAATGGATTGTGACAGAGTTTACGGGGGATTACAGGGCGACGGAGGCACGCTTGCACGAATATATATTTAATTTCGGGGAACAACGATATTTTTTCGAGTACAACGGGGGATAAAATTAAACTCTCAACTCAACTCATCACCATCCTTCACAGTTAACTACCGTGAGTAAATCTTTGTTTCAGAGGGCACGAGGGATCTGTGACAGTAAACACCTGGCCGCCGAGCTCCAACACGTCAATCAAGTTTTGCACGACAATAAGATTCGGGTCCTGCGCCTACGTCACAGTGAACGAGTGAAGCCGGCCATAGTCGAGCAAGTGCCTGCTGTACTGCCATATGTCAGAGGCTATTTGGCTAGATTGGCTAGATCTTGTAGCGTGCTTCCATTAAAACATACTTCAAGCCACCGAAGAAGATTAGTCAGTTTTATGTTTATTTATTTATTTAATCTTGTTTGTTGACACCTTAATAACAAGGGTAACAAAGGGCAGACTTAATACCTAACGGCATTCGCTGCCAGCCTACCCGTGGAGTGATGAGATTTTGTGGCAGGTGCAAATACACTCACATATATATATATATATATATATATATATATATAAACATACATACATACACATAAATACATAAACATATATATATACATACATACATACTAAGATATACATATAATATATACGTTACATATAATAATAAAATACATATATTGAAATTACAAATAATAAAACATCTAAATGTGTCAAAATATATCATCATCATTCTTAACATCCAACATCACTTTGTTTCAAAAAAAATTATGTACCATCTCATACATACAGATATACATCTCATCATACAGTTTTACCATCAGTCAAGTGTAATGTCCCTCTGCAAGATGCAAGAGTGTACAAGCTTGATTGTGAATGTGGTCTCTCTTATATAGGACAAACCAAAAGATCCGTAAAAACCCGCGTTAAAGAACACATAGCTGATGTAAAGAATCGACGCTCCGGGAAGTCTGCAGTCTGTGAGCATGTACAGGATCGCTCCCGTCACTACATTAGATTTGATAGATCACAAATCCTCGCTAAAGAACACCGATTCCTTCCAAGGATGATTCGCTAGGCTGTTGAAATCAAAAAACATCTTAATTTCAATAGAGAAGATGGCTGGGTGCTACCGTCTGCTTGGAATCCCATAATAAATAAAATTAAATCCCAACCCAAGCATACAACTGCAAGACTTCAAGATACTGTAAGTTCATACTGCGTAGATCGGAACAAAAATTAATAATTTTTAATCTGAAGGTAGCCGTGGTTAACTATGATATTGGAACGTCATACACCTCAGTCCCCCCCGTGACCATGGGTACTGTAAAGTGTTCGAAACGTTGGGAATATAAAATAAGTTAATATACGCGATACGATCCGTAAAATTAGTTTTATTTAAAAAATAGGTAGGTACTCTTTGGGGATTTTTTTTCTAATAAGGGCACTATAATCCTGTCCTGTGCAGATGATTAGTCTCCGTTGAGGTTGGCCGCCGTGACGGAAATTTCGTCTGGATGCATTATAGTTATTATTATAATGTTTTTTTTTATAGGATAGGGTGACAAACGAGCACACAGTCCACCTGATGGTAAGTGGCTGCTGTGACCCATAGACATCTACATTTATCCTCGTTTGCGAATCAAAATGCAGATGCGTTGTCACCCGTGAGGACTAAGATGGAATGCCTCTTTTCCAGTAAATAGGGTCTACAGGTATGGTGTAGGATGTGTACGATCATTTTCTTTTTCACGTGACTGTACAAAATGTAGGTATTTCAGGTAATTTAATATGTTCAGGATAATTAACTCCAAGAGACACTATCGAGCTCCAATCGATAGAGGATCTGCCAACTTAACTTTTTAGCTGAAACTATTACTGTCATTTTTTTGCCTTATAACTTCTTCATTTTTTCTACATCGTCAATGTATGGTGCCAGTGTCAGCTATTAAGCGTTCACCATACAGGCTGCAACTGCCTTTACTTATTACTTTAATTTTTTAGTTGAAAAATGTGAAATTATTTCCACAATTAAAAAAGTTTATTGTTACTGAAACAAATGTTATTACTAACTAAGAAATCCCTAACATGTCAAACATTTTACAGAGTTGTCAAAACACGCTAAATTTTCGCGTTCGCTATGTTTTTGTTTCAACGTTAAAGTTATTAAAATTTAAGAAGGAAACTTTTGACAACACTCGAGATACCTGTCTATCAGAGCGAACACGCATAACGGAGTTAATAATGGATACGGAAAGAAACCAGTTAGTCGTTAGATGTGCTTGTGATTTGATTTGTATATTTGTATAATATTATTTATTAAAAAAAAATCATTGTTTTTAGAATATTTTTATCGAACGCTCATGGATTCACTTCTCTGTATATATTCTGTGTTTATATGCAATCTTGACTAGATACTATTTTTTATATAATATCAACCAAAGTTTATGTTTTCTACGTTTTCCTTACAATTAATAAGACTTCGTTTTATTGTTAAAACGCGGCGTTTACATTTCTTTTCTTCTCCTTGATGAGGTGATTTATACGTGATAGAGCCATGCTGCAGCTATATTAATAGTATAGTTGTAGCGCGAATGGGTCGACTCGACCGGGGAAGGACCACGCTCTCACAGAATACCAGCGTAAAATAGCAGCTTAACGCTGCTGTGTTTCGTATGGTGAGTGTAGAGAACCGGAGAACCTTTTTACTGGAACTGAGGCATTCCATTTTAGTCCTCACGGATAACAACACATCTGCATTTTGATTCTTAATCGAGATTAGAAGTGTAGATGTCTATGGGCTGCAGCAACCACTTACCATCAGGTGGACTGTGTGCTCGTTTGTCACCCTTATCCTATATAAAAAAAGGTGTGCAGTAGATGTCAAGTGGCACGTGGAAAAAAATTGGCATTCTTTCGCTCTTCTTTTATTAATTTTTTTTATTAATAAATAAAAATAAATTAACAAAATAGTGAAAATAAGTGATGGAATTTTACGGGAAAGAATTATTGTAGGGACGATTTGCCATCATCGTTATGCTAGGCAGGTGGAATGGGGATCGCAGTACCCGAAGTCCCGTACTATTGACGCTGTTTCCCGAGGCCGCTCTATGTATTTTAAGTCTGGCGTAAACAATATGGCGTAAACGTAAACATCTTTTTGAAGCCATAGCGGCTAATGACACAAAGGTATAAAATGTGGATAATGAAATTTCTTATGCCACCATCGTTCGGCTAATGCATATTTCAAAACTACATAATGATATGTGTGTTTTTATATATTTATAGATATCATGATACCGAAGTTAAAATATACATCATAATATTATCAGCAACATACAGTCACGTAGAGACAATATTTGTTTCGTTATACAGTAGCAACGCAATGTAACAGCTTGCCTGGCAAATGTTTTTTTTTCATAAAGTTTGCTTGTTTATCGTCGAATAACTGGAACAACTGCTAGTGGAACAAATAATAATCGTAAGTAAGATGTAAAACATTTATTAACTTTCGTATCTTTTGCCAGCGATTTATAGACATCAGTTCGAAATTGATAAATGTCATGAAAACGTAACTATAATATATTAAAATGATTTTTGATGTTTACGTGAATACATTGAATAAAACTACCTTTACAGTTCTTATCGCGTTGAGTTTAACTTTTTAATTCCCGGTGTTTCGGACACTACAGTTCTAAGTTGTTTGACGTTTTGATGTCATAGATAACGAAGGCTTCCTTTATCTTTTAAATATTAATTTTTGTTCCAATCTACACAGAATGAGTTTATCTTGATTTCATGCTCGTAATTTTGTATCAGTCGT